TCTTCCCGAATTGTCCATTTTTGTGGACAATCTGAGCGTCAATTAGAGAGACGTTACTGTAGTATTTTGTGCCAAGACGAGAGTAGACTCGTCGAGCGTAAAAATATAGTAAATAAATAAAGTATAATCCGTATATAAATATATATAGTATAATAAATAAAAATATTCAATCAAAAGCTCTTTGAAAATTTAATACAACAATTTTTCAAGATGCTACGGAATCCCGAGTGCACGAAGTTAATACCCGATTCTCCCTTAATTGTTTAATTTATTCCCACCTAAAAATTTCACCGTTTGAGAATGAACCACGAGAAGGAAGAGTCGAATTACATGGAGATTTTAGCGCGAGGCCTGACGAACGCGACGCGACGGCTTTTCCGGCGCGTCGGCGGACAGCGCTTTTAGCCGGCAGTGTATGCGAGCGATTCCGTCAGCGAGTCCGCCGACTCGATAAGAAGCTTTTGTCTGGTCCACGCGGAAGAGACGCGGAGCGGCCGGGTCGCTCTGCGTATGACATTTATCGACACCCTAGATTCGATGAATTATTGCGCGCTAGTTATCGGGCGCGCGCGGCCGTCGCGGGGCGTAGGTGGGGAGGGGCGGGGTGCCGGCTCTGAGACTGACAGCTGAATCGTTTCAGGGGGTAAACGACTCTCCGCGGACCCCAGCGCGGTGTAAATAATCGTCGCGTTCGCAAAAAACCGTGGACGCGTCTGTGGCCGGCCGCGTTTCGCGGCGCCGCGATTGCCGGGCAGTTTCGCAACTTCGGCGTCGTTAAAAGTCTTTAAGGTTTCACTGGATCAACGACTTTGGTCTTTCGGATGAATCACTGGGCTTATATTTGAGACTTAAGCTAAAAGAGAGACACTACTGAAATCATTAAAAGTCTTCGAGGTTACATGGGTTCACTGATCTCGGTTTCCAAATGCAAAGAGCTTCAGGTTGAAGTGTGACATTTAAATTGAAAGTTCCTGAAAGGTACTGCTCAAATCGCTAAAAATCTTCAAGGTTACACGAGAATGTACAATTAACCCTGATGTTATATTATGTTAATGTTATACAGAGTGTCCCAAAAATTTCCTGATTCCTGAGGTCATTTGAAGCAACTTTTTCCTTAGCGAAAATGCAATCCGTGGCTTCGTTTACGAGTTATTAACGAAAAACTGTGACCAATCGGAGGCGAGATCATTTGGCGCGAGACTGCTGAGCCAATGAGCGGAACTGGGCTCTGCGCACTCGTTGACTGGGCCGCCGCGCGCCTCTTATCGATCAGTGTTTTTCGTTAATAACTCGTAAACGAAGCCTCGGAGAAAATTT